AATGCCTTAAACAGATGAGAAGGCAAATGAGAGGTGTGTTTAAATCCTAAACATTAGGCCTTCGTTTATAAGAAAAATTTCCCAACCAAATGGCTAACCCACCGATGTGGGACTTTGCCAAATTCAACACAAAAATACATTTTTTGATAGTTTCATTTTGTCAAAACTATATCAAAGAGGGGTAATTTCATGGATAGTCATTCAACTTTTATTTTATTCACCAAAGTCACTCAACTATTTTTTGAAACGAAGAAGTCACTCAACATTACCGAATTATCGCGAAAGTCACTACTATTTATTGCAACTAAAAAGTCACTTAACTTAGCCTACGTATCATAGAAAATGCCTCTTTGTTTGTTCCTAGTTACTTTTTCACTACAAAAAAATAGTTTAGTGACTTTTGTGCAATAAAGTGAAAATTGAGCGATCATCCATGAGATTAATTCTATGGAAGAGCTGAAGTTGAGTGACCATCTATGAAATTAACCCTATGAAAGAGATTTCATTAACTTATGTGAAACAACAATCCAATCAACAAGTATGCCCACGAAGAAGAACCAGACAATTGTGAGAATCATAACTTTCAAACTACAGTATGAGATATGGGGTAGGGGAATAAAAAGACCAAAGAAAGCCATAAGTACCAAAAGAAGATAAAACTTGGAAAAAAGAGTGCAGTTCTAATTCCTCAGGATAAGGACAACAAAGTATGTTAGACAATCCAACCACAAGATCAGCAGACTTGATTTACTCAAGAGCTGGTGGTATACGGTACATATGGAAGCAGTGGTGCAGCATAGAGCTCCACGATCTGCCCACTAACAGCAGGTAACGAAGGCATTTGTCACAAGAAAAGAAAAAAATGTCAAGCAGCCTGCTTGATGAAGCAAAATCGATATTCATTTTCCAATTGACGAAAATAACTTTTACCAAGGTAGCATTGAACTGATAGTAACATAGATATAGTCCACCAGATAAATTATCAATGCGGCAATGATATAAACATGTATATAACATACAATGAATATCCAAAAGAATGATAAAAGAAGGAAACACAGCCAAGACTCAGATGTACTTTCATATTCAGCATCCCATCTGAGAGCAATACATATTAACTGAAATTTGAGAGGTCCATCTTGCAGTATTAACTTAACCTACTGTCACTGTGTTTCTTTTTTATTTTGGTTAAATAATATTTGTGTTTGAGTATAAGAAGCATTTGATACAAGTTTATATTAAGCATCTCAAAAATTAAACCAACTAACTATGCACTAAGGATTGTCCTCTTTGCACCCAAAAATAAATTAAATAAGAAAGAATTGACATTTAACAAAAAATCAACATAACAGCTGTTGTTAATAGACAACAAGGCTATTGCAAGGAAAAACTATAACATTACTTGGATCCCTTCAAGTAAATCGTGTAGTGATTCATTTAGTGCCTCTAGATCTGCAGAATTTTGTCCTGCAAAATAGCAAGATGGTGCTCCTTCATAAACTCTGAACAGGACTAGGCAAGTGCAGAAAATAGGAGAATGTACCAGCTTTATTGTCATTCTCATCTATATCCATGATGCCTAAATCATCATCCGCGTCATCCTTATCATCTCCAACTTTTTTGCCATTAGCAACACCTTCTGGTGGAAGCAGTGCAGGAACTTCAAAGCACAAAAAGTGTGCAAAGAAAGAACTCTGCAATATGGAATAGAAAAACGTTGAAGATAAACTTTGGGCAGAGAAAGCAACAAAGACACTTATATACATATATACTAGGAAAAACAAAAAGAAACTAGAAGAACACCTCATCAACAAGGAGTGGAATAAATATTGTCAGCATTTTAGCANGAAATCCTAAACATTAAGCCTTTTTTTATAGGGGGAAAATCCCCCCAACTTTTGTTTTCTCACCGATGTGGGACAAACATTTTGTCAAATTCAACAAGAGCAAGCTTTGACAGATCATACAGAGAAATGAATCAACTGAGCTGGATAACAAAATCTGCTACTACACAAAAATGACAAAATAATGGAGAAGCTTCCTTATAGAAAAAATGGAGAAGCTTGGAATCAATCTTGAGACTGGGAACCCAAAGTTACAGGAGTGGAAATTGAAGATGCAACAGAGGAATCAAGGAAGGATAAGCCTGCCCTGCCAGAGTTAACTAGATCTTCAGGGGAAGTGACAAAAAGCAAAGAGTAAAGGTTGGGGCCAGATGTTACTGGAGAAAGGTTTGAACAGGATTGCGAGGATGGAACAATTGCCACTGATGAAATATGGTCGGCTGAGTTGGAGTTGGTCTTGGTCCATAGAACACATCCACAAATGATGATTTTCTTCTTAAATCTAAAAAAGATGAAACGAAGGGACAAGAGTTGCCAATAATGAATTCAGTTTGATTCTGTTAAATGGACCTTGGGGCTAACTCAACCCGATAAGCCAGCTCATGGGGTGAGGGTTGCCCAAGCCATATTAAGGAGTCCACCCATCCACCGATGTGGGACCCCCCTCCCCACGCCCGGGCTGGACATCTGGAGCATGTACAATTTAATATGGGGGCCCAACATTACAAAACGAGAATTGGGATGGGTCGTGCTATGATATCATGTTAAATGGAGATAAAACGAGAATTGGGATGGGTCGTGCTATAATATCATGTTAAATGGACCTTAGGACTAACTCAACACCAAAAGTTAGCCCATGAAGTGAGAATTACCCAAGCCATATTAAGGAGATCACCCATCCCTTAAAGGACCGATGTGGGACTCTTCAGATGCCATAGTCGGGTCAAAGATATACAATTTTGAGAGTTTCTTGCAAGATGATTCGGCTTCTGAAGATGACGTGCAAGCTGCTACTAAAATCATTAGCTTGTGGTTGGCCAAATGTCTGAGCAGTACAGTTGTTAGAAGGAGATGTTGCAAAGTTGAGGCAAGATTTCGACTTATACTCTGGGAAAAAAACACCTTGATTGGGATGAATATCTATACCATCATGCCCTTGTTGCATCAAGAGAAATTAAAAGGAGAAAAAATCTTGCTGTCCATGAATTCTCTGCGTGGATGTAGAATTGCGAAGGTAAGATGAGAGTTGGAAGATTTTAGGAACCTCTGGATTTTCCATATATAGCAAGAATAGCTGAACATGATATGTCAGAGGTTAGTGCTATGTGTGTAAAGTCATTTACCGGTGGAGTTTGTGGCATTCTTCTTGAAGCAGGAAAGCAAGAAACTTGGACCATCTTACCAGAGTTACTGAGATCACTATGCCATTTTATCGGCACTGTTGTAGACTGTACATAATGGTTTTAGACAGTGTCTCTGTGTTGCTTCTTGTTTTCTTATTGAGGTTGCTAGCCTTCTTACTGGTGTTCCATGTGGTTTTTTCCTTGCTCCAATTCAAGCAGCTACGTGGATGCCTAGAATGAAGATTGTTTCAAGGACTTAGTTGCCAGATTGTCATTGAGGGTATGCAGCAAGGAAGATCTTCGACGGAGCAGCTCACTCATTGGGATTTGTGTGATTGACATTGGCTCTTCTGCGGCTCAACCCTGTCTGCCAGAAACAAGTGAACAACCAATTTCAAACATAATGACACCATACTGACCTTAAGGACAAGCTCAGTCTTCAGGAGTTTGGGAATGTTATGAATCAGTGTTAAAAGGTAGCTGAAAATCAATGTTGGTTGCAAAAAGTAAAGGTGGTTAGGGAAGTTGATTGGGGAATACGACTGCTTCATCAATCAATATATAACTGTGGGTCACGGTTGAAAGAAAACGAGGAAGAATTCAAGAATTGTATCAATCCTATTTCTCCTTTTCTCCCTTTTTCCTTTTTGGTTCCTCTTTTCTGTTGGTACAAGGCACCCTTACATTATGCCATCTGAATCTCTATCTCCTCGGTTTTAAATTCAAACGCTAACAGAAATGCTCTTAGTGTTTCTAGTGAATCCTTGAATAAGAAATTTGTCAAGTTTAAAGTATGATGCTTATGTTTTCTATTCTTTGTAGGCTCGTGAGTTTGCAAATGA